CTTTACAGAAATATAGGAGATAAAGTGATGAGTAAAATTACACCATTAGAAAACAATCAGACAGAGCCAGAATTTGACATATTTTTGAAGACAACTTGCCTGGTATTTTCAAAAACAGTGTAATAGACCCTTCTTGATCAAGAGATAACAAACAGTACTTGAATACTAATTAGGGGGGGCAAGGCGGGGCAGTTGAGGAAATGTCAATGTAGACTGAGTACATTCAATAACACGAGTTATTTTTCATTTTTCTGAGGTGCGGTAACAGTATTGTGGTTAAGTAGGGTAAAATACTTCTAGGATATATGTGATTCTAAGAGGTTGTTACTAGAGAAGAGCACGGGTGGTCTTTCTCTGTTGCTAGTGGGAGTGGGGTTCTTGAGGTACTGCTGGAATGAGTATTTCTGGAGGCCCCCACAGGAGGATGAGATGTGGTAGAAAACTTTATTTCTGTGAAATTACATTCCTGGGTTTCTAAAGTCCCATTTCCCTTAGTCCAATTATAGAATAAATGAGCTAGAAGCAAAGCCAGTGTCCAGAGTTTTCTTTCCATGTTGGAACTGGGTCCGGTTCAGCATCAGGCTAGTAGTTCATTAGTCCCTTGTGTGAGTGGGTGAATACTGGAGAGCATGCCCCGAGCAGTGAGAGTCTCAAAAGCATAAGAGGAACCAAGAGCACAAGAGAGTGAGTTTCTTTGTTTAGGGACTTAAGTATCCCAAATCTTCCTGCACTTGCAGTGGCCACACCCATTGTGGCCAATAGCCTGTTTCCAGGTTTGGCTGACAGTAAGCACCTTCCCTATGTCACCCCAACTTTATTGGGCATGTGTCTATTCTCCTCCCTACCCAGTCCCTTCACCCAGTGATTTTTGGGGAATAGCCAGTGGCTCCCTGGGGAGTGTAAAGCTTTAGCTTCCTGGTGAAGCTGCCTGAATGACATGTCTATAATGGCTGGCTTCCCCCTTTGCTCCTTTCCTGTTATTAATAACTAGGTTCATTACAGCAGTATCAAGGTGAAGTGTCTTGATATCTGCAACTGATTTTAAATTTACACATACATAAAAAGCAAAGAGATAAAATGTTAATAGTTGTCTCTAGACAGTGTATATATGGCTATGCACTAGTATTATTGTTTTAACTTTCCTGCATGTTTGAAAATTTTCATAATAGAGGAGAATGCTGTTAGACTCAGTTGAGTACTATTTATTGACAATGTCCTTATGATGTGGAGTGCATTGCTATGGATCCTGTGAATATCAGGCAGCTGTACCTACCTTGCATGCCTGAAAATAACCTTTTTTTACCACATTGTGTTTGGCATTATATAACGTTTACTTTGAGAACTGGAGTACAAAACAGCTCTGTGAAATGCTTTGTATTGTAAGGTGTTTTTCATACCATTTCTTACTGTTTGCTATGGTGGCTGGTTTTTGGGGAAAGATGAAACTTTGGGTTTCAATAACAAGATTAGTTGTGCTGTTTCTGAGAAACCGGATTTTGGCATGATAGAGACACTGAATTAGGTAGGAGCGAAGCTTGTGCTTTACTGGCTGCTAGAAAGTTCAAACCTCACTTGTGGTTCATCTGTAGCAAGTGCACCTCCCAGCAGCACTCCTGACTGCTGCTAATTTTCCCTGCCTACGCTCATTCCCACCCCACGCCCACCGGCAATCTGATTCCCTCCTCTGTTTTTCTGCTTGTATTTATTTTATAAGATATTTTATGCCCAACAATGTGCTAGCCATATCAAAAGGATTTAAAGCAATGTAGCTTATGATATAAAAGTCACAACCTCAGAGATAGTTAGGTAAGTTCTTGCTCCCAAATTCCAAGATCTTTTATCCTCTAATGGAATTTAGACTAAGAGACTGATACTAGGAAAATTTAAATTATATATATTTAAATACAATTAAATAAAATATAAAATACTGTATTTTGTGGGGAAATTTAATGCAGGAGATTCCATGCAAATGGATTTTCAACAGCAGTTAGAATTGGCATTTTCCTTAGAATTTCATTTTTTTAAACCTTTTTTTTCAATTAATGAAGTAAAATATGCCATTGTTTGCTTTTAGCATTTCGGAAAGAATTATGATGTACCAAAACATCCTAATGAAAGATTATAGTATTCTTTAATAGTATTCAAATTCCTTTCCCCCCACAATAGTTTCATCCTCTGTTAAAGGATACTTTAGATTTTATAAAATATTTTTCAGCATCAAATATTATATTACCGAAGGTGCACTATCTGACAGCAGAATATTTAAAGCAGGGATAACATTTACTATAAAATATGCTGTATGAATTATTGATGGCTAAGACATTTTTAAGACTTTATGTATATTATGTTAAGTAGGAGTGCCTTTTGATCCACCTTAAGTTTATTCTAACTTTTTAAAAACAAATATTCACTTGATAAATAAGGTTTTCTTCTTTAATTAAGAGTCCTAAGTTCAGTAGAATCTTCCACTGAAGATCTTTGTCTTTAAAGATCTGGAAAGTAGCTTGTTAAATTAAATGATCTTTCAAGGCTTTTGTACTTAGAAAACTAAGTTTCGATTTTATATTTGGGCATGCTTAAATCTTAACCTTAATAACCTTAATATAAAGTACCCTTTAACAGAAGGATAATACTGTTGTGGAGGGAAAGGAATTTGAATGTCATTCAAGAGTAACTAATATAATCTTTCATTAGGATTTTTTGTACATCATAATTCTTTCAGAAATGCTAAGAGTAAAACAATGGCATATTTACTCCCTTCATTAATTAAAAAAAAAAAAAGGTTTAAAAAATGAAATTCTCAAGGAAAATTCAAATTCTAACTGCTTTTGAAAATCCATTTCCACAGGATCTTCTACCATGAGGGATATGCTAAAATTAATTGCCCTAACAGGGTTAGCTGTAAACATCATAGGTGTGAGTACGGTAGCATTGCCTTGTTCTTTGCCCCAGGCAGAATGATTTCTAGAACTAAGAGTTAGCTTTCATTGCTCACAACTCTGGAATTCACTTTTTCTAGTTTGCCAAAATACAGTCAACAAGGTGTACAGCTCTCTCCTTCTGCAACTATTTTTACGAGGAAGTACCATTCTCATTTTTACGTCCATTCATTTCTTAGCACATGAAAACCAAGTTTAATTTTGTAGCAGTGCCTGTTAGTCATGTGAGCTCTGTACAGCATCTCCATTTATACTGCTTCACACATCACTCACAGGACAAGTTCCCACAAAGACCTGTTTTGTTCTACTGTCAATCCACCTAAAGAAACCAGTTTCAGAACTATGCGCAGCTTTGTAAATCAAGATGAACTGGTCAGAAATTGGATACAGAAACAAACAAGAAACCAAATAATGCTTCCTAGTTAACAAGCAGAGCATTATATATAATCACTGCAGGTAAGGAAACGCTCTGCATTCTAAGGGTATTCTAATTAGAAAGTTTATATCATATTCATGTAATCATAGTCAAGTCATTAGCTTGCCCCCGTTGCTGGAGTCATGAAAATATAATTAATGCTTTTAGTAAGATACTGTAGGCAACAGAAGGCAGTGAGAGCAAATGATGAAATGTGAACTTTTGTTCTGGGTATTTCTTAGCAGGCCTTGTAGGCGATAACTAAGTATCAAGGTTGATAAGAAGAGGAGTTTGATATCAAGCACAGATTTCCTTCTTTCGGGCAGTAATTAGCAGAGCACAGTAAGAAGGAGTATAATGACATGCAGAATTTATTTTCTCAGGGGCTCTGCATGTAGGTCAGGAAGAAAGCAATACTCACTCATACACAATTCATAAGTAACAGAGTTATGTTTTTCACCACGAAGTTAAATTCAAACACAGTATATTCACAGCTTAACTTACGGCGTTTGAAAATACCCTTGAGAAATATTTTCTCTTTGAATAAATGTTTTGTCAAATTATTTTGCTTTCTTGTTTAGAACTTTGAAGAACAACAAGTACTTCGAAAGTTTTGTTTCAGATGATCACTGAACTTTGTACTTTTAACTCAGTATCAAATAAAAGTAACCTCCCAAAGAATCTGCTTTTTTTGTGATGCTTTTCTTTTTCCTCTTGAGAAATAAAAACAGGAAACAAAAGCAAAGAAAACTTCAAAGTTCTCTACTCTTATTCCAACAATAGGCAGAGACGAAGGCTCCGCGGCAAGTTAGAGAATTCTCAGAGTACTTCGTGAAAATGTATAATCTGGGTCCTGCCTCAGATGAGGATGTTATAAAACATAAAACTGTTGTGGAGAACACATGACACATTTAAAAACTTCCATCCTCCTTAATTCCCAACACATTTGGAAAAGAAAATTATAATAAAAATGGGTTTTCCCCTCCTAAAGCCCTTTTCCCACCACAGATATGTACATGTCTTAAAGAAACCAGATTAGGAAGGTAACTTTTCTAAAATATTTTTCTTTACTTGAGAATACAAAAGGATTAAACTGAATAATTAAATGCCTTCTTGCTTGCAACTGCTTCTCCCTGGCATTTCTTTCTCAAGTTTCGTAGTCTCTGCTCTCCCCTACTGACTGACAATTTAGGACTATCTAATTTCTCTAAGTCTGATTTCTCATTTCTCAGTGGTAAGGTTTGAATTGTCAAAAGAGTAATATAAAAAATGAATTAGGTTTTCTTCTTTATTATTACATTTTTATTGACTTACAGTAAAATGCACATACATACCTTAACTGTGCAGATTGAGTTTTAACATATGTACACATCAGAACCAATGGTGACGACTTTCTCAAAATACTCCTGCGAGCAGGTTAAAAAGTTTCCTAGATGATTCTGAGCTACATCAGTTAAGAATTCTTGCTTTTGTAAAGAACCCAATTGAGTCATGTACATAAAAATACATATCATAAAATGTTAACACAGATTAAAGGTAGGTTACTAGTTTAAAAAAACTTAGATTTCTTGTGTACCTTTTTCATGGGGTTTGCAATGCTGGCTCACTGATGAAGTTCTCAATTTGTTTTTCTGTTGTTTTTTTAGAAAATTAATACAAAACTTCATGATGGAGTATGTCAGCGCTGTAAAGAAGTTCTTGAATGGCGTGTAAAATACAGCAAATACAAACCATTGTCAAAGCCTAAAAAATGGTGAGTTAAGTTTCTTAATTACTTTACCATTATATATTTTATTTCATTCCCCAGTTTTCAAAATTATATTCAAATATTAAGGTAAATAGAGAAAAAATATCATTTTCCCACATAGAATTTATTTTACATGCTGAGTCCTGCTTTGTGAAGGAAAATAGATTGAAAAAGTGGATTGAGCATTCTCTGCCCCAGTCTTCCATAAATAAATAATGCACTATTTCTATAGACTCTGTTCATAAAAGGTAGCTTAGGGCAGAGAAGAGAATATTTGTTTTATACCTCCCACTGATGAGGTAACAATGTTTGCTATGGATCACCTTTACCAAGGGGGTCTTAAAATGAGTCTGACTTTTTAATGCAACCCTTGAAGATTACTGAAATGACTTTAGCTGGAGTGTCATAAATAAATTGCTAGATTGATAACTTATAATTTCATTCCTTTGATTGATAACTTATCATTTCTTTCCTTTGAATATTCGGGTTTAAATAAAAAGATTCTGGACTTTGTTTTCTACCCCTCTGTCCCTCAAGCTTTTCCTATAATCCTGGAATTCTGTTTTATCAACCTTCTTTACATCCTGGTGCTGCTCCCTTATATCCTTTAGCTCAGCTGAATTAAAGGCCACATTGGAGGGTAATTGCTGCCTAAAAGAGAAAAGTGATAATTTAAAATATAAAAGTTTGCATTAATATATGTGAGTGTTTTTACATTATGTGTTGTAATTTGGCAGTCTATTTTGTAGCTATTTAGAACACAATTGTTCATTGTCGGTTTATTTTCCTTTTAGCTTTTGAGTAGTGGCAACTTCCTTAGATCTATTCTCTCTTCCTTCACTGGAGAAATTTTACTTAAAGTTTGGATGGCTAGCCCAGCCGGGCGTGGCTCAGCGGTTGAGCGTCGACCTGGAATCCAGGCGATCGGGGTTCGGTTCCCAGTCGGGGCACATGCCCGGGTTGCGGGCTGCAGCCGATCAATGACTCTCTCATCATTGATGTTTCTGTCTGTCTCTCTCCCTCTCTTCCTCTCTGAAATCAATAAAGATATATTAAAAAAAAAGTTTGGATGGCTAGTCTAAAAAATAAATTTGATATAACTTTTGCTGTTTATTTTTATTGAAAAATTATATCAGACCTTTGCCAACCTATAAATCAAGCTATAGTGTAATTTGTTTTCTGGAGAATATTTAACAGTTTTGAATTTTTTATTTTGGGCAATTTATTTTGCCTCCAATGCTTTTTTCCCCCCCAATATTGAAAGGTAAAAGCCTCGAGGAAGGATAGATTAACTTTAGTTATTTAATTTTTACTATTTATTATAGCTATAGTTGACCCCCGTTTAAATAGACACATTTCTCTCTACTATTTTAAGTCTTTTTTGTGTGTGTTTGTTCTTTAGCATTTCCTACCCAAAGAAAACACTTTGAAACAAATCTGATGAGTTTTATGCTCACTGGCCCAAATTAGCAGTAAGGAAATTTGGCAACTGTTTTTATCCAATGCTAGATTTCCATGGATGAGTTAATTGTGTTCTCTGCCATTGAAATTAGATGCTGGTTGTGCTAATAAAACATGTAGTTTTAGTTAACAGGCCTTTTATAAGATTTGTAGCTTTCTGAATATTTTCAGGCAGAGAAACCATCTTCAGGAAGGAGATCTTATGATGTTCCCCTTAGCCCAATTTGAATTAAATATGGTAAACGAGAGAACTTTAGGCAGGTGCCTATTAGCTAAATACCCGCTGTGTTCCATTGTTTCTGAGTCACCTAGCATGGATTTTCCTGCCATGTATGTTTTGTCTTCCTCAACTACCTGTCAATCGTCCATTCTCACTTCTGAAATCTAAATAACCTGTTATCATGCTTGCTTCAGCATGACGTATACTAAAATTGGAACAATACAGAGAAGATAAGCATGGCCCCTGCCCAAGGATGACATGCATACTCGTGAAGCGTTCCATATTTAAAATATAAATAAATAAATAAATAAATAAATAAATAATCTGTTATCCCCTTCCCCCTTTCTCCTTTGTCCAAAAATGTCTTATATACCAAATTACCAAATGTTGCCTTGCTGTCTTTGGAATTTTATGGCTTTATAATTTCTATGTGAATTCCCCATGTGCATGAATTAAACTTTATTTTCTACTGTTATCTGTCTCTGTTAATTTGGTTATTAGCCCAGCCAGAAGAACTTAGAAAATGGGAAGAAAAGTATTTATATATTTTTAGACCCTCACTGTAGCACAACTTGTTTAGAAAATTTAAATGCTTTGTTCAAGCTAATCACTTACAAATTAAATTTTTCCTTTGTTAGGATTTATTCTTATTTATATAGTGCCTTTAAAAAAATACATGCATCTAGAGAAATAGACTTTACACTCAGGTACTGAAATCCTTGTATTTCAGGTAGCTAAGCAATCCTTTTCTCCTATTAATTTAGAAGTATGGTAGGCAAATACCCAAACTTGTGTTAGAATCTCTAGCCTGCTTCTTTTTCTTCCTACCCATAAAAGAAAAATCCACCAATAATACAGTGTTAGCTAATGTTTAACATGGCCATAGTAGTAGAAGAGAAAGGAGAAGCTGGAATAAAACAGCAATAGGCCCAAAACAGGTTGGGGTCTGAGTTCAGAATTGGACCTCTAAGTCCTCTATATCAGTAGTTCTCAACAGAAAAGTGAATTTTGCCACCAGGGACATTTGGGAATGTCTGGAGACATTTTTGATTGTCATGATTAGAGAGGATCTGGGAGGGATGCTACTGGCATATAGTGAGTAGAGGCCAGGGATGCTGCTAAACATCCTATAATGTGCAGGACAGCCCTCAAACAAAGACTTTCCAACCCAACATGTCATCAGTGTCTTGGTTGAGAAACTCTGCCTTGTACAAAATCAGTGGATATTCAGAGTCAAGCCACTGAAACATCATATATGTTGTGGGGGCTAAAAAAATATTAATACTCCTCTTTTCAACTTCTAGATTTTTCTAGTCTGGGCTAATAATAAAATTAACAGGGACAGATTAACAGGAGAAAATCAAGTTTTTAATTCATGCACATGGAGAATTCACATTGTCATGAAAATTCCGAAGACAATGAGGCAACATTGAGTATATAAGACATTTTTGGATGAAGGAGAAAAGGGGGGATGGGATGCGGTCTTATATTTCAGATGTGAGAATGGGCAATTTACAGGTAGTTGAGGGAGAGCAGAATGTAAGTGGCAGGAATATTCTTGCTAGGCAACTCAGAAACAATGGGACACAGGAGGTGGGTGGGGGGTGGAGTGGGGGCAAGCAGGGCTGGTATCCTGCTAACAAGCCTGGACTCTTCTTGACTAATGCTAGGGTGAAAACTTTTAAGGTGATTAAGCCAAGGCTCCCTTCCCAAAGCAAGTTTCTATCCGAATCTCTTGGGCAGGAAAGGGGAAGGATCAGAAAAGACTTTTGATTTTTAATAAACAGTTTATTAGTCTTTTGTTTTTTAATAAACAGTTTAAAATCAAGGCAGCTTCAGGGTGGCAAAACTTTGGTCCCTTCAATATCTTAGGTCATTGTTTTTCAGACTTTTCAGCTATAGAATTCTTGAATAAAACAAAAGCTTGCTGAGGAGTTCATTAAGTACAACAGGCCAAAACATAACTGTCCTGAATGGGGGGAAGGGAGCCCAGACCTTAAATGCCACAAGAAGAATGTAATTGAAAGTGGATTTCATCCTAAAAATAATCCAGGTGAAGAAGGAAAGAACTGGTGCAGTAACATGCCTTGGAACCAACATTGTTCTAGGGATGTCTGGCCTACAGGTTTCCTAACATGTGGGTCCTTTATGCCTAACACACTGCCTTTCATTAAACAAAGGCACTCTCCCTGAGGACCTGGTCCTCACATCCAGGTATTGAGCCCTTTCTAATAATTTTAAAATTTATTGCCTCTTAGTTTTTATTCCCATTGACTGCCGGAGGCATCCCTTATCTCTTCATACTTCATTGCATTAAATAAATGCTCTTCTATCTTACTTCTACTCAAATACCACCATTGGTCTGGAGTTTGAATAAATTAATGTTTTTAAAAGGCGTGTTGCACATAAATGTTTTAAGGATTCCTATGGGGAAGAGTTGGGTTTCTAGCAGCAGGAGGGGAGCTTTGTCCCCAGAGTTGTTCTGTTTTTATATGTCTACTATATATCTACTATAGTGTGGGCATTGAGGGTGAGAGTGTTTTGTGAATACACAAAAAAATAATACTATTTGGGAGAAAATTAGATGAGATAGAGGGGGATGAGATGTTGCTAAACAGGTCATGCCACCCCATGCCTTACCTCTCTAACAGTATGCTCGCTCCCTCTTTACTACAAAGGTTTTTTTCTAGCCAAATTAGCCAAACACAGTCCTTCAAGATAATCTTGTCTAGACTAGCCCTGTTCTTTTTTTAAAGTTATCTATTTATCTATTTTTGTGGTGCTGGTAAAAATCATAAAACATAAAACTTACCATCTTAATCATCTCAATCACTAAAGTGTAGATAGTTTAGTAATGTTAAGTATAATCAACTTGCATCTCGAAAATTTGAAACTCTATACCCATTAAACAACAATTCCTTTGTCCACTACTGCCAGCTCTTGGTAACCACCATTCTACTTTCTATTGCTATGAATTTAACTTCTTTAAATGCCTCATATAAATGAAATCATACAGTATTTGTCCTTTTGTGACTGGTTTATTTCACTAAGCATAATGTCTTAAAGACTCATCCATGGTATAGCATGTGACATTCCCTTCCTTTTTAAGGATGAATAATATTCCAGTGTGTGTGCATACACCACATTTTGTTTATCCATTCATCCACTGATGGACGTTTGGGTTGCTTTCACCTGTTGGCTATTGTGAACACTGCTATGAACATTGTGCAAATATCTCAAGACTTGCTGAATCATACAGTAGTTCTATTTTTAAGTTTTTGAGGACTCTCCAAACTTTTCCATAGTGATTGCACCATTTTACAAT